CTTAAAAGACAATACATTAAGCATGCTGTTGCTGTCTATGAAGTTTACTACTTCAAATTCTATATAACCAAAACATCAACGTTTACTTTTTCTTTAGTAAAGTTAACATATACGTGTATACATGAACTCCATCAGAAAATGTAAGTAGAGCCTATTGGCCCCCCGTGACAATATAGCACAGCTCATTTTGGCATATCTTGACCAAGTTAAAGCAAAAGAACCCCCCCATGGGAAAGAGTACCCACTCAAAAAAAGTAACAGTGAAGATTTGAAAGATTTCCATCACATGAGTAGAAAATTAAAGAAAAAGCACTGAGAAAAATAAATGAAGACACAATCTTACTTCATCATCCTTTCCATTCATTGGAAGGGAGGCTCTTGCTTTAGCTTTGGATAAAATTATCCCATCTTTTTCTGCAGCATCTTGTAAGGAAGCCCGAATAAACTCTGCTGAAAGAATGCTACCAAAATAATACAATACATTACTAAATGTCCAGTACAAAATATAACTTTAGCCTTTTCTTTCACATATTTAAAATCCAATTTTAGCAATATATAAATAATAGCCAAAAGTTAAGATTTCGAAGTTAAAAATACCAAGGGACAAAGAAAACATGTTTAAAAAACAAAGAAGTTTAAAATATTTCAAAATAAGAATGGAATTACTTCCTAAACATAACTATTGAAATCATGATTAGTATAAAATCATTTGATATGATTTTTTACAACATTGATAGATTGAAGAGCCAATCACACACTAGCCGGAGTAACAGCTCAAATTGGCAAAATTATAAGGTTCGGTACAGAAACTGAGTCATGAACCCAATGTCTACTTATGATAACTATTGCAACCCAAAGCCAAAAAAAAGCTGAATTTTCTGTAGAGAAAAGAATAATGATACATTGACAAAAAGCACTGTTCTCACTTAGTGAGGAGAGAAAAAGCTATTTTATTTATTTATTTCTTCCTATATGTCCTTTGCCATTGAATGTGAAGATGGATAGAATAAGGAGACAGAACAAAGGTACAAACTTTGGAGATTGAACTAGAACTAGGTTAAGTTGCTACTGGATAGTAATATTCAATTTATGTCTTTGCAATTTTGTTCCATAAAATTATGATTAGAATGTTTTGTGATCAATCCCTGGTTTAAAATTATTACTATCAGACTTATGTGTATGAATACAACAATTACACATTAACTCTACGTATTTCAAGACATTTTTTATTGTGTCTAAATCTTATGACTCAATAGGTAAATATTGTTTCAACCCATCTAAGCAATTAGCTCAACCCTATTATCTTCTAATTATTACTCAGCTCCATAAAATCAAGAAATTAGAAAGCACTGCTTACTGAATTTTCAGATGCAATTAGTAGTACATCATAAAAGGTGTACCTGTTTATGGATTCTATAAAGCCTATTACATGATCTCTAAGATGCCTAAAGCAATGTAGACCACTGAGCTCATCTCCATCCTGCAAAAGTTACAGGAAATGAACAAGATAAATTAGAACAGAGTGTTTTCTTCAACTGTCAAGAATCCCATCATGCTATTTCATAAACAGTCTACCAAAAAAACTACCCAAGTTCAACACAGTGACTGATATCAGCTAAGCATCCATCTCTAGTCTGATCAAGCTAAGTTAAAAACAGTATCCATCCCAAGACCATCATTTACAAGCAAACACATCTACACCATATTGCACAATGATTAAAGGGATACCAGTAAATGTTGCAAATCATCAGTCACATCTAGCGCTCCAGCACAATCTGCAGATGCAACAAGCTGTATCACAGCAAAACCACATCAACTTGAAAGCCTCAATAATAACTCAAACACGACCAAAGTAATAAAGAAAAGGCCAAAAACTAAACACATAAATGCCCCACACTGAATCAATATAGATTGCTAAACAAAAAGAAATTTCGAATGTTTATCACAGAGAGTAGAGGAATAATAAGTTCTAGAATTTTCTGTTAGATTCTGTTAGTGCTGAGTTGGCAATTTGTTAGATTGGTTAAGAGAAATTCTGTTAGAATGAGTACATGGCCTAGATTAGCTGTATATTTTTGTAATTTCCTTTATCGAGGTGCTGAATAGAATATTGATCCTCTTCCTTTGTCCTTTTTTGTAAGGGGTATCTCTGACCTCAAATACAAAGAATCAATTCCCCCATAATTTTGGTGCTTTCACTGAGAGTCACTCTTTAGTACCAGGGCTAACAGCACCCCATTGAAGAATTCCAATTCACAACCTAACCAGCATGATAATATTGTGCAGCAATTGACTCGTTTGCAATCATCTTTAACTGACCATATCGATGAAGTTGTCAATCAAGTATTAGCATTAGAAGGCTGCCCAACTGCAAATCCTTATGAATCTCCTCTCAGTACAAATTCCACTCAAGAATATTTTCCAAATCAGGACATTACTAGTTTTGACAGCCAATATCCTCATGGCTGAATTTTCAAAAAACTGTCATTTTTTTATCAGCAAGCTACCCTGCTGAAGAATGCAACATTGTTTCTTCATTGCACCATGATGTAGTACCTATAGATGTATCATAACAGTCAGATTTAATCATGGATGCAATTTTTCCAATGTTTGGAGACTAGTTTCACTCTCATGGACTTTGACAACCTCGACAGTAAGCTTTTCAAACTTACCCAAACGTCCACAGTTGTTGATGATTACTTGAGCAATTTTGAGCCCTAGCTAACCATATTGATGGGTTGAATCCTTCTTTCTTGCGGAAATGCTTCATTTCAGGGTTGAAGTCGGAGATTAAATGCAAAGTCCTCACCCACCAACTCTACACCCTATCACAAGCGACAGGCCTTGCAAGATTTCATTAAGCTGTGTTTTTTGAACTAATTTTTTCGTCCCTTGCACCATTGGACATTCACTCCTATCCACTGCCGTTCTTGCAAACCATCACCCCTAAACAACTTCCACCATTGCTACCAACAGCACAACCTCAAACTTAAGTATAAACATCTCTTTGATGTCAAAATCATAGATCGCAAAGAGCATGGCATCTATTTTTGTAGTGAAAAAAAGTTCTCTTGTAACGACAATTGTAGAGCTCATTCCTTCTTGTTAGTGATCAAAGAGGAGGACATTCCACTTCAAGGTGCTGTTGGTGAACAAAATGCCAAAGGGGACTTGAGTTAGGCAAACCTCACTCCCCTTTTAGAGGCCCAATTGGGCTCTCATACACTGGCTGGATCAAAGACTTTGGATCAAACATTGCGAGTCTTAGGGCATGTGGCTAGGTGGATAGTAGGAGTACCCACAATTCTACCCAACAAGAGAATGCATTTGCATTATGCTTTAAGGGATTTCCACAACTCCGTTGAAGGTATTGGTTGGTATGGTGAGTCACTAACATGAGACCGTGAACGTCTCAATGATGATTTAAGGCCATCAATTCGTGGCTGACCTTTATGTAGTGGAGATTAGTGGTTCAAATATGTAAAGCTTCAACCTGACAAACTTCTGTTTCTGGTGTGAAGTATCACAAGTTCTCTAAGAACTTTTATGTCCTTATCAGATGCTTGACCGCATTGGACCCATGGCCTACATACTTACCTAGCCTTCCTAATCTAAAATTCACAATGTTTTCATTGCCCACTTTTGAAAGCACATGTGGGGCCCCCTCCCTACTCTGACGAGGTTCCATTGCAATTAGTGGACCACAGTTCATTAGTTTATCCATTAGCTACACTGGGGTTAAAGAAAAAATCTGTAAGTGGAAGTTCAGTTAAGACAGCTCTAGTGCACTGGCAAGGTCTTTCTCCGGATGACACTTCTTGGAAGAATTTGGATGATCTGCCACTTCCAACCTTGAGGGCAAGGTTGCTTCTGATGGGATGGTATTGATGTGAACATGCAGATAGGCCTAGACCAGTAGGCCCAAATGGATTGAAAAACAGAAAAGAAAGTCAGAATATGTTTATTACTAAGAGGAGAGGAATAATAAGATCTAGAATTTGATGTTAGATTCTGTTAGTGCTGAATTGGTAATTTGTTAGATTGGTTATAAGGAATTCTGTTACAATGAGCACATGGCCTATATTGGCGGCTTATCATTGCAATTTCCTTTATGGAGGTGCTGAACAGAATGCTAAGCCTCTTCCTTTATCCTTTCCGGAGGAGGTATCTCTGACCTTGAATACAGAGAATCATTTCCCCCATCAGCATTAATGACACGGTAATTAGTAATTAACAACCACCCTAAAATTCCCCAAATTAATATACAACCCCACCAAACTACAATAACTCTAAAACACAAGTTTCGCATGGGACAAACTCAGATACAATTTCATAGGTATTTCGGTGTTACTTATGTTGATCTTTACCACAAGCTTTTATTATGCCAGTTACTTATATAATTCTGATTGGATAACAGCTCCAAAAGTATGTTAGGGATTACATCTAAGTTTCTCCTCTAGCCCTCACAATCCTACTCAACAAAGTTTCGACACTCTTCACAAAAACATCAACAACGGTGAAAAACGGAAACATCACAATCAAAAATGCAAAAGCAAGAGTACCAATTTGAGAGCTGAGAGGGCCTGGTTGACGTAGAATATTAGCCGGAGTTTCTGCAGGAGCGCCAAGAGATTGGTCCTGGTGCCATTGAGCTCCTGAATCTGGCGCGCGTCGTGGACCAAATCGGCGTCGAGAAGGCGAATGGTGTCCTTGAGATGGCGAATTTGCGTGCAACCGTGGAGGATCTTAGCATCGAGGTCCTGCAGCTGCCCCTGCGCCTCGAAGAACGAAGACGAGCGGAGCGAGATCTCCTTCACGAGATGGAGCTCCACAACATCGAGGTAGTGCGAGAGCTTCTCCTGCAGCGCAAGGTTCTCGGCAACGTTGGCGAAGGGGCAGGCGGCGCGGAAAGTAGCTCCGTCTTCGAGGCGGAAGTCCTCCTTGAAGTAGNGATACATTGACAAAAAGCACTGTTCTCACTTAGTGAGGAGAGAAAAAGCTATTTTATTTATTTATTTCTTCCTATATGTCCTTTGCCATTGAATGTGAAGATGGATAGAATAAGGAGACAGAACAAAGGTACAAACTTTGGAGATTGAACTAGAACTAGGTTAAGTTGCTACTGGATAGTAATATTCAATTTATGTCTTTGCAATTTTGTTCCATAAAATTATGATTAGAATGTTTTGTGATCAATCCCTGGTTTAAAATTATTACTATCAGACTTATGTGTATGAATACAACAATTACACATTAACTCTACGTATTTCAAGACATTTTTTATTGTGTCTAAATCTTATGACTCAATAGGTAAATATTGTTTCAACCCATCTAAGCAATTAGCTCAACCCTATTATCTTCTAATTATTACTCAGCTCCATAAAATCAAGAAATTAGAAAGCACTGCTTACTGAATTTTCAGATGCAATTAGTAGTACATCATAAAAGGTGTACCTGTTTATGGATTCTATAAAGCCTATTACATGATCTCTAAGATGCCTAAAGCAATGTAGACCACTGAGCTCATCTCCATCCTGCAAAAGTTACAGGAAATGAACAAGATAAATTAGAACAGAGTGTTTTCTTCAACTGTCAAGAATCCCATCATGCTATGTCATAAACAGTCTACCAAAAAAACTACCCAAGTTCAACACAGTGACTGATATCAGCTAAGCATCCATCTCTAGTCTGATCAAGCTAAGTTAAAAACAGTATCCATCCCAAGACCATCATTTACAAGCAAACACATCTACACCATATTGCACAATGATTAAAGGGATACCAGTAAATGTTGCAAATCATCAGTCACATCTAGCGCTCCAGCACAATCTGCAGATGCAACAAGCTGTATCACAGCAAAACCACATCAACTTGAAAGCCTCAATAATAACTCAAACACGACCAAAGTAATAAAGAAAAGGCCAAAAACTAAACACATAAATGCCCCACACTGAATCAATATAGATTGCTAAACAAAAAGAAATTTCGAATGTTTATCACAGAGAGTAGAGGAATAATAAGTTCTAGAATTTTCTGTTAGATTCTGTTAGTGCTGAGTTGGCAATTTGTTAGATTGGTTAAGAGAAATTCTGTTAGAATGAGTACATGGCCTAGATTAGCTGTATATTGTTGTAATTTCCTTTATCGAGGTGCTGAATAGAATATTGATCCTCTTCCTTTGTCCTTTTTTGTAAGGGGTATCTCTGACCTCAAATACAAAGAATCAATTCCCCCATAATTTTGGTGCTTTCACTGAGAGTCACTCTTTAGTACCAGGGCTAACAGCACCCCATTGAAGAATTCCAATTCACAACCTAACCAGCATGATAATATTGTGCAGCAATTGACTCGTTTGCAATCATCTTTAACTGACCATATCGATGAAGTTGTCAATCAAGTATTAGCATTAGAAGGCTGCCCAACTGCAAATCCTTATGAATCTCCTCTCAGTACAAATTCCACTCAAGAATATTTTCCAAATCAGGACATTACTAGTTTTGACAGCCAATATCCTCATGGCTGAATTTTCAAAAAACTGTCATTTTTTTATCAGCAAGCTACCCTGCTGAAGAATGCAACATTGTTTCTTCATTGCACCATGATGTAGTACCTATAGATGTATCATAACAGTCAGATTTAATCATGGATGCAATTTTTCCAATGTTTGGAGACTAGTTTCACTCTCATGGACTTTGACAACCTCGACAGTAAGCTTTTCAAACTTACCCAAACGTCCACAGTTGTTGATGATTACTTGAGCAATTTTGAGCCCTAGCTAACCATATTGATGGGTTGAATCCTTCTTTCTTGCGGAAATGCTTCATTTCAGGGTTGAAGTCGGAGATTAAATGCAAAGTCCTCACCCACCAACTCTACACCCTATCACAAGCGACAGGCCTTGCAAGATTTCATTAAGCTGTGTTTTTTGAACTAATTTTTTCGTCCCTTGCACCATTGGACATTCACTCCTATCCACTGCCGTTCTTGCAAACCATCACCCCTAAACAACTTCCACCATTGCTACCAACAGCACAACCTCAAACTTAAGTATAAACATCTCTTTGATGTCAAAATCATAGATCGCAAAGAGCATGGCATCTATTTTTGTAGTGAAAAAAAGTTCTCTTGTAACGACAATTGTAGAGCTCATTCCTTCTTGTTAGTGATCAAAGAGGAGGACATTCCACTTCAAGGTGCTGTTGGTGAACAAAATGCCAAAGGGGACTTGAGTTAGGCAAACCTCACTCCCCTTTTAGAGGCCCAATTGGGCTCTCATACACTGGCTGGATCAAAGACTTTGGATCAAACATTGCGAGTCTTAGGGCATGTGGCTAGGTGGATAGTAGGAGTACCCACAATTCTACCCAACAAGAGAATGCATTTGCATTAAGCTTTAAGGGATTTCCACAACTCCGTTGAAGGTATTGGTTGGTATGGTGAGTCACTAACATGAGACCGTGAACGTCTCAATGATGATTTAAGGCCATCAATTCGTGGCTGACCTTTATGTAGTGGAGATTAGTGGTTCAAATATGTAAAGCTTCAACCTGACAAACTTCTGTTTCTGGTGTGAAGTATCACAAGTTCTCTAAGAACTTTTATGTCCTTATCAGATGCTTGACCGCATTGGACCCATGGCCTACATACTTACCTAGCCTTCCTAATCTAAAATTCACAATGTTTTCATTGCCCACTTTTGAAAGCACATGTGGGGCCCCCTCCCTACTCTGACGAGGTTCCATTGCAATTAGTGGACCACAGTTCATTAGTTTATCCATTAGCTACACTGGGGTTAAAGAAAAAATCTGTAAGTGGAAGTTCAGTTAAGACAGCTCTAGTGCACTGGCAAGGTCTTTCTCCGGATGACACTTCTTGGAAGAATTTGGATGATCTGCCACTTCCAACCTTGAGGGCAAGGTTGCTTCTGATGGGATGGTATTGATGTGAACATGCAGATAGGCCTAGACCAGTAGGCCCAAATGGATTGAAAAACAGAAAAGAAAGTCAGAATATGTTTATTACTAAGAGGAGAGGAATAATAAGATCTAGAATTTGATGTTAGATTCTGTTAGTGCTGAATTGGTAATTTGTTAGATTGGTTATAAGGAATTCTGTTACAATGAGCACATGGCCTATATTGGCGGCTTATCATTGCAATTTCCTTTATGGAGGTGCTGAACAGAATGCTAAGCCTCTTCCTTTATCCTTTCCGGAGGAGGTATCTCTGACCTTGAATACAGAGAATCATTTCCCCCATCAGCATTAATGACACGGTAATTAGTAATTAACAACCACCCTAAAATTCCCCAAATTAATATACAACCCCACCAAACTACAATAACTCTAAAACACAAGTTTCGCATGGGACAAACTCAGATACAATTTCATAGGTATTTCGGTGTTACTTATGTTGATCTTTACCACAAGCTTTTATTATGCCAGTTACTTATATAATTCTGATTGGATAACAGCTCCAAAAGTATGTTAGGGATTACATCTAAGTTTCTCCTCTAGCCCTCACAATCCTACTCAACAAAGTTTCGACACTCTTCACAAAAACATCAACAACGGTGAAAAACATCACAATCAAAAATGCAAAAGCAAGAGTACCAATTTGAGAGCTGAGAGGGCCTGGTTGACGTAGAATATTAGCCGGAGTTTCTGCAGGAGCGCCAAGAGATTGGTCCTGGTGCCATTGAGCTCCTGAATCTGGCGCGCGTCGTGGACCAAATCGGCGTCGAGAAGGCGAATGGTGTCCTTGAGATGGCGAATTTGCGTGCAACCGTGGAGGATCTTAGCATCGAGGTCCTGCAGCTGCCCCTGCGCCTCGAAGAACGAAGACGAGCGGAGCGAGATCTCCTTCACGAGATGGAGCTCCACAACATCGAGGTAGTGCGAGAGCTTCTCCTGCAGCGCAAGGTTCTCGGCAACGTTGGCGAAGGGGCAGGCGGCGCGGAAAGTAGCTCCGTCTTCGAGGCGGAAGTCCTCCTTGAAGTAGAGCGAGGGGACCTCGCGGAGGCAGGCGACGAGCGCCTCACCCTGGCCGGAGGCGGCGGCGGCATTGGCGAGGTCGTTGATCTGTTCCTTGGAGGTGTGGTTACGGATGTCCTCGAAGCGATGGTAGGCTTCGGCGATAGGGACGACGTAGTTGTGGAAGTCCGATCGGGAAACCTCGGAGGCAGCCTTGGCAACAGCGATGGGAGCGAACTCGGGCGGGGCGACTGCGGTGGCGGAGGACCACCAGGCGCCCCAGGATGCGGCATCAGAGGCGTGAGGGTTATTGAGGATGGATGAGAGGCTTTGAATGGAATCGGAATTTGATTTGGAAAGAGAAGCAGATGAAGAGAGGGAGGTGGGTGACCTTCCCCACGATTGCTGGGAAGGTGGGGAATCCATCACATTACGATTGCGATTTCAATTGAAGTCTTGTGACGATTCCGTTGCGCTAATGTGATGGATTGAATGGTGAGTGTGGGTTTTTTTGGGGATCTGCGAGAGAAAGAGAGAAAGGGAAGTGTTGCTTTGTGTTGTGTTGTGTTGCTTGGAAATGGAGAACATACGGGATCGGGATCGGGATCTTCAACCCGAAACCATTAAACACCGGAGAAAAGTGGGTGGGGCTTCAAAAATTTAATCGCACCACCATTGTCCGACTAAGCCAACAACACATTACACTCTTTCCACATCTGATCTTATTTCTGAATATTAGTATAGAGAATTTCTTTTATCGATAACTAATTTTTGTAAATAGATATTATTTTAAAAATATTTATATTTATAACATGCTTATGAAATTCATATTATTCATATGCCAAAATCAACCATTGAGATTGTTCCACACCTTTACCGCATTTTTTTTCACGCAGAGTGTCACCTTCGAGAACCGTAGAAGACAATATTAGTTAAATGAGTTTAATTTCGTTAAAATGAGTTTATGAAAATATAGATACATTTATTTTATGAAAATGAGTTTAATTTCGTTACAATATTTCTTATGTAAAGTTTATGAAAAATGAGTTTAATTTCGTTCAAATTACCAATATTAGTTAAATATGAAATATAAATACATTTATTTTATGTTTAATGTTAAGTAAACTATATAGGAAGGTTTAGGCTGAAAACATTTATCATCTTAATGAAGGTATTATGATTAACTTGGTGTTTAGAGTAATTATTTTCTGACTAATATTAAAACTTTAAAAGCTGTTCAAATTTGTAATAAGAAATATTAAGTGCTATAGTCTTAATTGAATTTTTAAGTTTAAATTAATTTGTTATTGTATTTCGAATTTTTTTTTTCAAGTTTAATGTATTTTTTATTTGAGTTTTTTTGTGTTAGTGCTAAAACAATTAATCACTATATGAGCTCTTTTAAAATAAATAAATCAATGATAGTTTTAACTGGAAGACTTCAAAATCTAGTTAAAATTATAATTTAGTATTTCATCCAGATTTTGAATTGTAAGACTTAGTTTCAATCGGTTAAAAAATCGAATTCGACAACAAACTTTAACTATATATTATTTATCAGTTAAATATATTTTTAATTTCTTAAATTCAGATTTTTTTTTATATTTTAAAATTAAAAAATTAATGTTAAATTTCAAAAATATTATTTTTTAATCCTTATTAGTGCTATGGGTTACTGACATACTTACAAAAAAACTATGTGAACAAATCACGAGTAATCAAAATAATAATGCAAAAAAGTATTCTTTAATTTTTTTTAATCCTCTTTAAAAGTGAAATAAATTTCGTTGTTGCTTTCAAATTTAAAAGTAATATTTTTCATGTTTAAAATATAAAATTGATTCTTTCAGTCTCTTCAATTTAAAAATGGTATCTTTTCTGTCCTTTACATTTAAAAATTGGTTTTTGAATTCTCACAATTTAAAGATATTTTTTTAATGCTGGAAATTAAAAGTGATTTTTTAATTCAAAAGTAATTATTAGTCCATTAAATTTAATTTTATAGTATTCTTAGTTCTTATTTGTATAAAGGTAAATTATTTTAATTTTTAAAAGTTTGTTGTTGTTAAAAAGCCAAATATTTTTTATAATTTAAGAAAAACATATATGATATATAAGTCAAACTTCCAAAATTAAGATAATAAATATTTTTTAAGAAAATTGTGTTAGTGTAATATTATGGTTAGGTTACACATTATAGCCAAGAGTCACTGCACTTTGGTCTCAAAATAATACAAAAATGAAAAAGAAAAAAACATGGCAAGGGTATTTTTTCTTTTTTCTCAACTATNGCGGAGGCAGGCGACGAGCGCCTCACCCTGGCCGGAGGCGGCGGCGGCATTGGCGAGGTCGTTGATCTGTTCCTTGGAGGTGTGGTTACGGATGTCCTCGAAGCGATGGTAGGCTTCGGCGATAGGGACGACGTAGTTGTGGAAGTCCGATCGGGAAACCTCGGAGGCAGCCTTGGCAACAGCGATGGGAGCGAACTCGGGCGGGGCGACTGCGGTGGCGGAGGACCACCAGGCGCCCCAGGATGCGGCATCAGAGGCGTGAGGGTTATTGAGGATGGATGAGAGGCTTTGAATGGAATCGGAATTTGATTTGGAAAGAGAAGCAGATGAAGAGAGGGAGGTGGGTGACCTTCCCCACGATTGCTGGGAAGGTGGGGAATCCATCACATTACGATTGCGATTTCAATTGAAGTCTTGTGACGATTCCGTTGCGCTAATGTGATGGATTGAATGGTGAGTGTGGGTTTTTTTGGGGATCTGCGAGAGAAAGAGAGAAAGGGAAGTGTTGCTTTGTGTTGTGTTGTGTTGCTTGGAAATGGAGAACATACGGGATCGGGATCGGGATCTTCAACCCGAAACCATTAAACACCGGAGAAAAGTGGGTGGGGCTTCAAAAATTTAATCGCACCACCATTGTCCGACTAAGCCAACAACACATTACACTCTTTCCACATCTGATCTTATTTCTGAATATTAGTATAGAGAATTTCTTTTATCGATAACTAATTTTTGTAAATAGATATTATTTTAAAAATATTTATATTTATAACATGCTTATGAAATTCATATTATTCATATGCCAAAATCAACCATTGAGATTGTTCCACACCTTTACCGCATTTTTTTTCACGCAGAGTGTCACCTTCGAGAACCGTAGAAGACAATATTAGTTAAATGAGTTTAATTTCGTTAAAATGAGTTTATGAAAATATAGATACATTTATTTTATGAAAATGAGTTTAATTTCGTTACAATATTTCTTATGTAAAGTTTATGAAAAATGAGTTTAATTTCGTTCAAATTACCAATATTAGTTAAATATGAAATATAAATACATTTATTTTATGTTTAATGTTAAGTAAACTATATAGGAAGGTTTAGGCTGAAAACATTTATCATCTTAATGAAGGTATTATGATTAACTTGGTGTTTAGAGTAATTATTTTCTGACTAATATTAAAACTTTAAAAGCTGTTCAAATTTGTAATAAGAAATATTAAGTGCTATAGTCTTAATTGAATTTTTAAGTTTAAATTAATTTGTTATTGTATTTCGAATTTTTTTTTTCAAGTTTAATGTATTTTTTATTTGAGTTTTTTTGTGTTAGTGCTAAAACAATTAATCACTATATGAGCTCTTTTAAAATAAATAAATCAATGATAGTTTTAACTGGAAGACTTCAAAATCTAGTTAAAATTATAATTTAGTATTTCATCCAGATTTTGAATTGTAAGACTTAGTTTCAATCGGTTAAAAAATCGAATTCGACAACAAACTTTAACTATATATTATTTATCAGTTAAATATATTTTTAATTTCTTAAATTCAGATTTTTTTTTATATTTTAAAATTAAAAAATTAATGTTAAATTTCAAAAATATTATTTTTTAATCCTTATTAGTGCTATGGGTTACTGACATACTTACAAAAAAACTATGTGAACAAATCACGAGTAATCAAAATAATAATGCAAAAAAGTATTCTTTAATTTTTTTTAATCCTCTTTAAAAGTGAAATAAATTTCGTTGTGGCTTTCAAATTTAAAAGTAATATTTTTCATGTTGAAAATATAAAATTGATTCTTTCAGTCTCTTCAATTTAAAAATGGTATCTTTTCTGTCCTTTACATTTAAAAAGTGGTTTTTGAATTCTCACAATTTAAAGATATTTTTTTAATGCTGGAAATTAAAAGTGATTTTTTAATTCAAAAGTAATTATTAGTCCATTAAATTTAATTATATAGTATTCTTAGTTCTTATTTGTATAAAGGTAAATTATTTTAATTTTTAAAAGTTTGTTGTTGTTAAAAAGCCAAATATTTTTTATAATTTAAGAAAAACATATATGATATATAAGTCAAACTTCCAAAATTAAGATAATAAATATTTTTTAAGAAAATTGTGTTAGTGTAATATTATGGTTAGGTTACACATTATAGCCAAGAGTCACTGCACTTTGGTCTCAAAATAATACAAAAATGAAAAAGAAAAAAACATGGCAAGGGTATTTTTTCTTTTTTCTCAACTATGTTAAACTAACAATTGTCGAATTTAGTATTCTATATTCTTTTATGTATGAGAAGACACTAGGAACTAGAAGATGGATCATACATTACTTTATTATATATGGGTAAGATCCTACTTTCAATCATTTTATTACTATAATTATAGAAAGTAGATGTTTATAATAATCAAGTGTAAAACACTTAACCATGTCACTAACAAGTGTAACATGTCATGATTTTTGGCATCAACTATTGCAACATCTTTTGTTCGTGATTATTATTTAGGTGATGCTTGAAATTGTTTATGTGAGAAACTTACTATTTAACAATAAACATGAACATAACCATTTTTAAGGAAATTTAACCACATTCAACACATAACAATGATTGCATACGTTATTTCATACATTTATATCATTAACCATCCACGAGATAAAGTTACTCGTTTAATTTAATTGATCATTAATTTCTTTAGACAAAGTTATAACCACATATATTTCTACGTGAAAAAATGTAATTTATGTAAATTATAAACGATCAAAATCTTATTTCTTTTAATTTATATTTTCCACATTCAGATAAGCCCATGTTTTAAATCTGGTAATTTTCAAACAAAACATTTATATCTTTTTAATATTCAAATAAAACCACACATAACAACACAAGTATTACATTGCACCTTAATTATAACAATACTGGTAGCATGCAACAGCTACCTCTTATTTAGCAGAAATCAAAGCAAGCTTCAGAAGCAGGTGCAGTACGTCGGAAAGAACTTGGGGAAAGGCAGCATTTGAAGTGGTGGTGGTGGTATCTTAAAGGGTGGCACAAAAAGCGGTGGTTTCTCAAAGGGTGGCATGAGAAACGGTGGTGCAGAAAGTGGTGGTTTTTCAAAGGATGGCATGGGAAAAGGTGGTATCTTGAAGGGTGGCACGAAAAGTGATGGTTTCTCAGAGGGTGGCATGTAAAGCGGAGGCACAAAAGGTGGGGTTTTGTAGGGTGGAGGATGGTCAAATGGTGGCTTATAAAGTGGGGGTTTTTCAATAGGGGTGTTGTAAAATGGTGGTTTCTGGAATGGTGGGATTTTCCCAGTTGGTGGCTTATAAAAGGAGGGTGTTTTGTGAGTTGTTGGAGGGTTGTAAGATGGTGCCTCAGATGGAGCGTTGTAAAGAGGTGGCTTGTTGTCAGAATCTGCTAGTGCTTGGGAGAGTTGAATCATGGCCGCAAAGAGGAGCACCAGGGAGCTTAAGAAAACCATCGCCATGTTGTTCTTCACCTTGGTTGGTGAAAATAACAGACGACAATGATGTCCTTTTATACCAGTTTGGAGTAGGTGCAATCTCAGTAGGTGAATCTTCTTGTGGTTGCTGTTGAAAAATGAACGTACAAGTCCATACCAGTGTGAATATTTTTCAAACTCACTCACTTTCCTATGTACTTTTGGAACTAGTTTACACCATTTTCTATGTAACTTCAAGTTCATATAAGCATGTACAGAATAGTTGTTTCTGAGATATTGCTTCCTTTAAAATTAGGTAAGTTCATCGTTGTTTGAATTCTAAGTCTTGGCACTCCGTTGCAGACTTATAGTTGCAGTAAAACTTTCTCTTAAATTTGTTGTTATATTATGTTGTAAATACTGAATACATTTAGTAAATAGATAAGGAAAATTATTATTATGGAGAACAACTCTACATGAGAAAAATTCAATAATAGAATAACTTTTGTAATTTAAATTATGTATAAATTTTGAAAATTGATTTTAACTATTTTTTTTTGTCTATAGATACTGATAAGAAAAAGTGTCAGGTGTAAGAAAAATCGTGCCAATTATTATCTCATAAGCTATTATAGAAGTGAGTGATTCATACGCTCTTTTATATATCACACCTTATATTTGACGAACTTTGTATCTTTATACAAGTGTTTCTCATTCTTTTTTATATTTCTCTGTTCAGTGTTCATTCTTGTTTGAAGCTACCATATCAATATATAATAGAAATTATATAGATATATTTAAGCACATTTTGGTGTGGAACTATATATATAATTCCTTATCAAATAACTTTATTATAGCCAAATTATAAAAATATGGAACAAAATAAGAGTTAATCAAGTATAAGAAAATACATAGAATCACATATAAGACCAATAATATAAGTTAATTATTTTTTAAAAATGAATATTAATTACTTTCAGAAGTAGATCATAATAATTTATTTGATAATACCATTGACCGATATATATTAAATCTAGCAATCTCCTATAAAGTGACAATTTTTTTTGTATATATATTTATATTATAAAATGCTATAATAATCTTATAAAGAAAACATTAAATATTTTGATTTATAAATATGCTTTTTTAAGAGTTGAGACGTGTTTCTAAATAAATCCCATCTCAATCCATTAAAGTTGAACTGGTATGAGTTTAAATTAAATTAAATTAAATTCAACATCTCACTCATATCCAATATAACTCAACTGTTTTATTTTGCATTACAATCTTATGTACATTATGAATAAATATTCTTACATTTTATTTAATCCTCTCATTTATATATCAAGTGGAGAAAGTATTGGTGTTTGTTTTAGTAATGTTTAAAAAATACTATTTACGTTAATATTTTTTACTAAAAGTATCACGAAAACTAATTTCCCCAAAATACGAAGATTAAAATAACATTTTATTTCCTTTGCATTTTATGCATCTCCCCCTTTGATCCTTTATGTTCTAAAATTCTTAATATTTTTATGTTTTAAATGTTACTTAAAATTCTTCTTCCATCACTTTTATATTAACTTCGGTACAAATAATAATAATAATAATAATAATAATATTATTATTATTATTATTATTATTATCATTTATATCATAGATGTGCTTAAAAAAATAAAACATGCAAATAATAAAATGTCAGAAATACAAAATTAATTAACAAAAAAAACTACAATCAAAGAATATTCGTACAATCTAATAATTCATTTATCAATAGCATGATCACCGTTTTACTAACTTATGTCATTGTCATACAAAAGTTTGTTTCTATTTTTCTTGGTAGTAATGTCCTTTTGCATATAAATGATGGGTTTTGATGACTTTTGTTAGGGATCTACACTCGTTGCCATCATCATTTGTCAATTTTTGGTGAGTCAAATCTTATAAATCTAACTAGTATATGACTTAAGTTATCTATATGTGTTTGCTAGTTGGTCACATATTATATTATAGTAGAAAGTGAGTTTAAGCCTAACTCAATTCCACAAAACCGGCTTGTAAGGTGAGGTTTGCACTTCACTTATATATTATATTTTGGCTTTTTATCTCTAGTCGATGTGGGACTTCCAACACACTCCCTTCACGTCGAGGTATAGACATCTCGTGCGTGATAGTAGAAATTGGGTGGTCCAATAACGACCCGATAACGGGTAGAATTTGAGTTAGGCTTAAACCCACTTTCTAATATATTATATTACTTTCAACTTTTTAAAATAAAAGATTTAAATATTAACTACTTTTTTTTTATAATATCAGGTAAAGCATAAATGGATAATATTTATTATTATTTATTTTTATTTATCATGATTTATTTTTTTATTGGTTTAATTTTGATGGATGAGATCATAAATGAGACATAACACCTATAATTTCAACTCACACATAAAAAAATTGACATAATCTTTAATAAACCATGGGTTTATCAGTTTTTATTATTATATATTGTTTAATCTTATTTTCTTTAATCAAAGTGTGTCTGAGAGTCACATTTTTATTTCCAAACCATTTTTTCTTTTGTTTCTCTTATGCCCAATAATAGTTTTACATAGCGAGTTGAGACTAGAGACAGTTTAAATATTCTTTTCTTCTTTGACTATTTGAGATACATTTTAAGGACAAAATTGTGATGGAACTTCAGGTTCCAAAGTAAACAATACCTTAGAATAAGGATGATTAACCTAAACTATGTCACTCGACAGACTTAGGATCGAAACACTGGTCCATCGGCTAGAGATAAGGCTAATTTAGAGTATATAAGTGGATGCAAATCTCACCTTACAACCTAATTTTGTGGGATTTAATTAGACTTAAAAGTCCATTTCTTAACATGATTTAAAGTTTATCTTAGCGAAATTTGTTGTTTGTTGAGTATATTGTTTCACCTACTATTAGACTGTTATCAGACCACTTATTAATGTCTAGTCTCACGCATGAGATGTATATACCTCGACGTGAAGGGGATGTGTTGAAAGTCTCACACCAACTAGTGATAAGACTATAGTTTAAAGTATATAAGTGGGTGAAAAGTTCACCTTACAAACCAATTTTGTGAGATTGAGTTAAGCTTAAAGTTCACTTCTTAACATCATATCAGAGTCATTGTTAGAGTCTGTTCTGGCGAAATTTGTGTTTGTTGGACATATCATTATACCCATTGTCGGGTTGCTATCGGACCACCTATTAATGTCTAGTTTCACGCACAAGATGTATATGTCTTGGTGTGAACGGGTGTGTTGGAAGTCTCACCTCAACTAGACATAGAATCAATTTAGAGTTTGTACGTAGGTGCAAGTCTCAACTTACAAACTAATTTTCTGATATTGAATTAGGTTTAAACACTATTTTTTAACATAGTATCCGAGCCATTGTTTAGAGTCTATACTAGCGATGATTGATGTCACTCAACAAACTTGAGATTGAAACATTGACGCCCACTATAGGACAATCACCGATCCCTTAAGTCTTTCATTGGAGATGGCCAACCATTCTTCTTAGATTTCGACTAGAAAACTTATATTCCTATCATATAATATCTCATAAATCCGATGAGAGAAATCCCAACTACGAAAAAATAGAAACCCTAATTAATAAATATAATCGATTAATGTATTTAGACACTAATCTAAGTGATTATTTTAGTTCCAATAATTAACTTTATGATGTCTCAAAGTTAGACTCTTAACATTTTCCAAAAAAATTTGAGTTAAAAGTACTTTTTATCCCAATTCATAGTAATTTTTTTTTATTATAAGAAATCTACTATTAGCTAGCTTAGTTTATTCTTTTATACGCACAAAATGTGAATTATACATCTATAGTTTGTAAAATAAGAAGCAATGATGCTATAAATGTTTGTTTTACTTGAAATGTGAAAGCTAGAAGAAATTGGAGTAATATTTATAGTGGAAATTAAATGCAAACTGAGTGCCACTAACAAATATGGTTGAGATCTCTCTTTCCTTATGATGGTGGTACCGTATTGCAAAAAGTTCAAACTCGTTAATTTGAAAAACTTAGTTTGATTTCATAACACGCTTGAGCATATTCACTCAGTGTTATACTTTTAGAAAAATTAAGTTGTGGAGATCGGCCCGGGTTAATACATACTAGAATCATTAAACCAAATGCTAAAGATTAAATATATTCTGACATTTTAATTTAAAAAATTACAGAAACCTTAGTATAGGATAAATCATAATATGATTGATAAAGTAAAAAATATTTAAAAATATTGAAGAAACTACTTTACCTTAATAAGATATGATATATAATTAGACGAAATTATAAACTAATAATATATTTTAAAAGCAAATGTCATATGCATTTTGATATTACGTAGAACATTAATAAAGGGATATGTCAACAAATAAATTTTGTCATTTTCTTTTCTCAATTGTATTTAGTATTGCAAATACAATGTTATATTTTATTAAAGTAAAATATATCATGTGATAATTACACAAATAATTAACTTATAATTTAACAAGTTACCATAAAGATAAAATGTAAAAGTAAATAAAATATATTTATTTATATAAATAGTAAAAAAAACGTCAACATTCACCTTCACAAGTTTAAAAGAATGTTTTGTTTGCTCTCAAACAGTCATTAAACCACTTAAAACTTATTCATTAATGATATTGTATCATTCAAGAGCTTTATTAGTTAATAAAATTATTCAAAAATATTATACAAAAGAACATTCTCAACATCATTACTCATTAATATACTATAATGAGCTTTGTAATAGTTTATTTTCAAACTTTGTTAAATAATACACGTTTGTTTACAATATACTATGACATTGTCACTCTAGAACTTCTTTTTTTTTCGTAACTTCATCATTACCTTCAATTTAAAATTTTTAGACAATATTAGACACACCCTGTTTTAACTAGGGCTGGACAAAATTAACTAAATTGTACTAAACTATAGTTATCTGTACTATAATAAACTAAAAAAAGCTGAACTAATTAATATAATATCCAAACTGTATTGTTTTATAGTTCAATTTTAAAAA